AATTACAAAAAAAAAAAAAAAAAAAAAATTGTTAAAATAAACACATTTAGTAAAGTTGCAGGATGCAAAATCAATGAAATTGGACACAAAAAAATCAGTTGTCTTTCCATGTACTAACAACAAACTACCCAAAAAAGAGATTAAGAAAACAATCTCATTTACAATAGCATCTAAAAGAATTAAACACTGCCCTGGTCGGCGTGGCTCAGTTGGTTGAGCACTGTCCCATGCACTAAGGTCACCGGTTTTACTCCTGGTCAGGGCAAATGCCCAGGTTTCGGGCTCAATCCCCAGTAGGGAGCATGCAGGAGGCAGCTGATCAGTGTTTCTCTCTCTCCCTCCCTCTCTCTCTCTAAAACCAATAAAAACATAAAAAATACTTTTTTAAAAAGAATTAAATACTTAGAAGTAAATTTAACCAAGGAGCTGAAAGACCTGTACAGTGAAAACTATAAGACACTGATGACAAAAATTAAAGAAGGCACAAATAAACGGAAAGATATCCTATGTTCACAGATTGGAAGAATTAATATTGTTAAAATATCCACACTGCTCAAAGTGATCTACAGAGTCAATGCAATCCCCATAAAAATTCCAATGGCATTTTTCACAAAAATAGGAAAAAAATCACTAAATCCCTATGGACCCACAAAAGACTCTGTGTGCTAATCCAATCTTGAGCAAAAAGAACAAAGCTGGAGGCATCTCACCTGATAATTATTATTGTCAATAATAACCTGATAATTAATTATTGTTATCAAATAATATTATAAAGCTATAATAAACAAAACAGTATGGTACTGGCATAAAAACAGACATGTAGACCAGAATAGAAAGTCTGGAAATAAACTCATGCATATACTGTGAACTAAACTTCAACAAAGTCACCAAATATACGCAATGGAAAAAGGATCATTTCTTCAATAAACGGTGCTGGGAAAACTGAGTATCCACATGCAAAAGAATGAAACTGGCCCCTACCTCATACTAGGCGCAAAATCAACTCAAAGTGGATTAAAGACTTAATTATAAGACCTGCAACTGTAGAACTCCTAGAAGAAAGCATGGGGGAACGTTCCTTGACATTGACCTTAGCAATGGTTTCTTGGATGTGACACCAAAAGCGAAAATAAACAAGTAGTACCCTTTTTCTGTTGTTGTCAGACATCTCAGCCAGGCTGCAGCGGCTGAGCGAGCTTTGCTGTGCCGCCCAAAGACAAGAAGAAAAAAGATGCTGGAAAGTCAGCCAAGAAAGATGAAGACCCAGTGAACCACCCTGGGGCAAGGCCAAAAAGAAGGCGTGGCCCAAAGGCAAAGTTCAGGGCACGCTCGGTAACCTCGTCTCGTTTGACGAGCTCTGGGGGGCAGCTCCCAGCCGCTGTCCCTGAGAGGCCGAAGACCGCGGTTCCTAGGCCAGGGCAGCCCTTCCGGAGCTCCTTCGGAGAGGTCGTGTTAAACTAGTTTCCAAACACGGAGCTCAGCAATTTACACCAGAAACACCAAAGGTGGGGATGCCCCAGCTGCTGGCGAAGATGTCTGAACACCAGCTGTACATTTTGAAAAATAAAACTTTATTAAATCCAAAACAACAACAACAACCTAAAACGTTACTGCGCAGCGAAGGAAACAACGAAATGAAAACAGCCACCTATGGCATGGGCAAAAATGCTTTCAAACCATTTATCCAATCAGGGGTTAACATCCAAAATATATAAGGAATGCATACAACTCCATAGCAAAAACCAGATAGCTTGATTTAAAAATGGGCAAAGGACCTAAATAGATATTTTCTCAAAAAAAGACATCCAGCTGGCCAACAGGTACATGGAAAGGGGCTCACCATCTTTAACCAACAGGGAAATGCAAGTCAAACCACAATGAGACAGCGTCTCGCTATGTGTTAGGATGTCTGTTATCAAAAAGGTAAAAGATCATAAGTGTTGGCAAGAATGTGAAGAAACTGGAACCCTCATATACTGCCGTGGAAACGTAAAATGGTGCGGTCGCGTTGGAAACAGCCTGGCAGTTCCTCAGAATGTTAAATAGAGTCACCATATGACCCAGCAATTCCACTCCTGGGCGCATACCCAAGAGAAATGAAAATATACGTTCACACGAAACACACAAATGTGCAGAGCAACATTATTCATAAAAGCCAAAAAGTGGAAACAACCCAAAGGCCAATCCGCTTATGAATGAATAAACAAAAACGTGCTACATGCATAGATTAGACTCTTAGCCATAAAAAGGAAATTAGTGCTGATACATGTCACGATGGTGAACCTGAACATATGCTAAATGAAAGAAGTCAGGCACAAAGGGCCACGTAATGTATGATTCTAATTATGTGAAAGATCCAAAATAGGCAAATCCACAGGGACAGAAATTAGATCCATGGTAGAGTCGTGGTTTCCCGGGGTGTGGCAGAAGAAGGAATAGCCAGTGGGTACAGAGTTTCTTTCTGTGGTGACGAAAATGTTTGGAATTAGATAGTGGTGATGGTTGTACAACTGTTTAATAGGCCAAGAACCACTGAATTGTACACTTTAAAGGGATCATTTTATGTCATGGGAATTATATTTCAATTTTTTTTAAGTCCATTTAATGAATCTGAAGTATGGTTAAGAAAGGCTGAGGACCAGAGGGCTGGGAAGTAAATGTCTCCTCCCATCTTCGCTCCCCCTGCTGTGGCCAGGGCTCCAGTCACCTCTGAAGTTCACCGTTGCAGCAGCCTCCCCCTCGCACCCCCAAACCCAGCCTCCATCACTCACCTTCCCACTGTGCACCTGTATTACATGCCTTTTTTATTTTCTGGCTTTTTTATGTTTTGACATCTGAAACCCTGCTGATCCCAGAGACTGCCCCTCCCAGAGCCAGCCAGCTCCTAAAGATTGTCCAAGACTGGCTTGCAAGCGTGCCTTTCACCTGCAAACCAGCCCATCTGGAGCCCGGTCCCAACCACTCCCTTTACACAGCTCTTGCCCTCTGGGTCACTCTCCATCTGCCCTCATCGCCGCAGGGCCAGGCATCAGACCACTGGAGACAGCCCCTGCATCCCAAAGCCTGCTGAAATCACTCAGACAGCCGCACCTAAGCTTGCTCACCCTGCCTTCCCTTCCCTTCCCTTCCCTTCCCTTCCCTTCCCCCAGAAGCCACAGCGCAGGCTCTTGCCCACAAGCTCCCTTCACTCCCTCTGCCTCTGGACGGACCCTGGAGCTTCCCTATGGGTTCCTGCGTGGGGCGCCCTGCCCTCTGTTTCTAGGAATCGGGAGTAAGATGTCTTCCTGCAAAACAGCCATTCCCATTTCTGCACGTCTTAAAGCAAACCCAAGTACACATCAAAACTCCACCCTTGCCCTGCTCCGCCTTCCCTTTGCCACCCGCCTTCTCAACTCCCTGACACTCTTCAATCTGGGAACCCCCCCTACTCTCAGCTGCCCGGGCACACAGCATTCCTTTGTCCCCCTGCTTTCTCACAGGCTGCTGCTCCACCCCGCGTCCTCGGCAGCCTCTGCCTGGGCCATCCCCACCCGTCCGTCGAGCTCCCCCACACAGCCTGCAGGACAGCCTCCCTCAAGGCCCTCGGCCTGGCCTGGCCCCCTGCCTGGCTGCGGAGTTCCAGGGAGATAAACGCGTGTCTTCCTCCCTCACCTCCGGGCCCCCAGGGCTCAGCACAGAGCCGGGAGCTGCGGGTACCTCCAGAAGTGGAGGGTTTTGCGTTTCAGTGTAAGAAATTTCCCCTGCAGCTGCCAGCTCCCCGAGGGCGCAGGCCTCCCCTCTGGTCCTCAGCAGGCCAGGCCCACAGCTGGCCTGGGCTGAGCGCGGGAACTGGAATGGGGGGCTGGGAGCGGGAGGCAGGCTGGCCTCCCCCAGGCCCACGCGACTCACACTGCTCCTCCCACTCGCGCTCCTCCGTCTCGCTGGCTNCCTCCCCCAGGCCCACTCGACTCACACTGCTCCTCCCACTCGCGCTCCTCGGTCTCGCTGGCCGGGCTCTGCAGCTGCGCCTGCTTCAGCGTCCAGTAGAGCTCCTTCGCCCTGCGCTCCTCCTGGAGGCGGATCTGCTCTTCTCCTCGCTTCCGCTCCTCTTCCTCTTTCTTCTAGAATGCCGTGGGGAAAGAACAGCGTTAGGGGACAGTGACCTTCCTGGGGGGATCAGGGCCTCTGTGCTCCTGCAGCAGGAAGCGCAGAGCGGGTGGGGTGGGTGGGCCAGCGGCCGCTGGGTCTCAGCAGCTGCTCACTGGAAAGGCAGCAGCTACCCTGAGCACCCTGGGGTGACTGAGGGTCAGACGGGTGACAGATGTGGAACAAGGAGCGAGCTCAAGCTTTCTGCAAAGACAAGAGGACACTGGGCCGTCCCGGGCCAGGCTGCCATCCTGCCATCCTGGGCAAGGCGTGGGCAGGGCGCCTGGTCTTCCTAGAGGCCAGCTAAGCAGGATATGAGCTCGTCTTAACCTTGTGTCCAGATAAGATATTTCAGAGCGAGAGCAGGCTTGGGGCCCCAAATCTCCATTTTCTGTCCCATTTTAAGCTCCAAAAAAGGTCGTCTGTTTGTATTTCCCTCCACCTTTGTTTACATCACAGTAACCTGCGTGTGTGGGACACGCATTATAAGCCCAAGACTTGTTATAAAGAACAGCAACTCTCCCAACCGCTTCATCCCAACTGCCCCACCGAGTCCGTGCCCAGAGGCCAACAGCTGCAATTGTTTTAGCTGTTTCTTCCTGTGGTTACGTGTCTGTCTGAGTAAAGCGGCTGATTCTTGACTTACCATTCTAGACACTAACCCCTGCCTTTCTTTTTGGTGCATGAGTACCGAGCGCTTGTTTCCCTGGCAGGAACAAGCCCATGCTTTTCCTCTCGTCATCCGCACTTTAAATCGACATCACAACTTGTGGTTAAATCGGCAATCAGGGTAAACAGGATCACTGCAAAGCCAAATCGGGTGATATTTCCACCAACTCTAAGAAGTGCATTTTTTAACTTTCTAAGATAGGTCTCTGAAATTGGCATGTCCCAAGGCTTAAAACTTGCCTTTCCAACAGGCATCAGGTTTTTTTCTTTTTTCTGAAAATAATGATACAATTGATAATTAATGGCACCTTAAATTCAATAAAATATGGTAATACGATGGCTTTTCTTTTCAAATATTATTTTGCTTTTTCCTGAGTTGATGATTGTTTTATCTTTCAGTTGGATATTAACTTTTCCCAAGCCTCTCTAATATCTGTAGAAAATCTTTCTCTGTGTTTAACCAAGCGCTTTTTATTATAACAGATAATACAGCAGCTATCTCCTTCCAAGAGACACCCCTGCCCCAGATGCCATCTTCCCTTCTCTCATCTCAACTGGCTGCCGTCTAGGTCTCCTGCCCACCCACCCACCAGGACTCTCCTCTCAGCTTTCCCTGAGCTGAAGCCCTTGTTTCTTTGTTCTGTGTTTTCTTTTCTGGCCACTCTCTCATTTTGCAGCAACATAGCTTACACTATTTCTCAGGTAAGGATGCACAAAGACACACTTTCTGAGTCTTGTCTGAAAACATCTACATGCCACCGTCACATATAACTGCTCACTGAGCTGCGCTCTCAGGCTTGGACTAATAATCATCGCCAATGGCACTGGGAAGGCTGTGCCTGCTTGTCTTCTAGCATCCGGGACGGCCACGAGCGATCTCACTCTTCTGCGGAAGGCAGTCATCTTTCCTTTTATCGCTGCTGCTCTGAGCTTTTGTAAATGATGTGCCTTGGTTTGGATTTTCTTTCATTGATTCTGTCGGGCACTCGAGGTGCTTTCACCTGGAGTCTCAGGTCCTTCCAGCCTAACACATCTTGGCTTAGGGTTTCTTGGACAGTTCTCCTCTCGTTTCTTTTTGCTTTCTAGATCTCCTAGTTGTTAAAAACTGGGCTTCTCCAGTTGATCCTTTAAGTGCCTTATCATTTCTCTCTTCTTTTCCATCTCCTGTCTTTTTGGTTCTAGTTCCAGGTTGATTTCACTGACTTTATCTCCCAAGCCTTCTACTGGATTTTTTTCTTTCAGCCATTGCATTTGTGATCCCCAAGTCCTCTTTCTCACTCTTTGGTTGTTTTCTTTTTGCTTCATTGCACCCCATACTTGTTTCATGGATGCAATAGCCCATCTCTAAGGCTTTTAGAGCTTTTTCTTCCCCATATTCTGATTTAGGTCTATTTCTTTTTTTTTTCTTTTTTTTTTTTTGCTTTTTGTGGGGTTTTTTTAAGTTTTTTAAAATTTCATTTGGTGCCTGTCATTCATGCTGGAGGCTTTCCTCGGATGGTCCCTGACGGCTCCTATTCGAGAGAGAAAGTAAGTATCTGAATGGGAGACTCAGAGTATGTGGACAGGGCTTCCTTGAGGGGTGGGCTCCACTCTGGGCTGACTGGAGGAAGAACCAGCCATCTCACTGAGGAACCCTCGAGTGTAAGAATCTAGGGGTCCTCTCTCTGAGGTTATTCAGCATCTGTTCCTCTGTCCTGCCTGGGTGGTGTCTGACCACCAGCATTCCCGGAGTCTGTGGTGCAGGCAGGCTGTAGGCAGGACCGACCCAAGCCAGCAGGACCCCTTCATGGGAACACCATGCTTTGAAGTGTCTTCTCTGCAAAATTTCCCCCAAGTTCAGCCAGAGATGGCCGGAAAGAGTCCTCCCGGGATTGTCAGGGGCAGCAGTTCTATAAAGGTGAGGTGTCCCAAGCCCAGGCCCTGTCCCACATGAGCCTTAGTCCCTGTTTCTCCTCAGAGGATGCTCTCTGACCCTCTCCTCCATGCGAAGGGTTAACCAAATGTCCCAAGGAGCCAAGACTCATACTTATGGAGTCATCCTGGGGTCCAGTGGCCAGGCCATGGTTCCAGGAGGGTGGCCTAGCAAGCAAATGAACCCTTCTGGGCAACATAGCATTTTTATCGCAGGATCAAATAAAATTGAGACACTAGAATGGAGCTAACAGGCCGATTTTATGTGGCTCAAATTGATAATTTGTTATAGAAAGAGACATCACACAAAAAACTATTTGCTGACCTGTGCACCCCAAGGCAACCCTGCTGCAGGTCCCACTGTTGAGAGCTAGACCTTTCCTTAACGCTCTTGCTCCCAGGCTGTCCCCTCCCCTGCTCGCTCCACTCGGCCTGACCCGCTGAGCCACAAACCTTTCCCTTTAACTCCCAGGTCAGAGCAAGGATGTGGTCGCCTGGAAGGAGCAGTAAGCAGGGAATCAGGACAGGGCGAGTGGCAGAGAGAATCTAGGAAGCTGCCTCAGGCTGTGAGGCCAGAAGTCCCCCCAGGAGGGAGGGGACATGACCTGAAGCCTGAACAATGAGAAGGAAGGAGAAACTTCCAGGCAGAGGGAACCGCAAGTGCAAAGGCCCCAGAACTGCAATGGGTTTGGCACATTCCCATGAACAATTACCCACTGCGGCTGGAGGGGGGAAAGGCTACATTCTATTGTTGAAGAGTTTGTGATGCCATGGGATGCCCCCGAGGCCTGCCATTAGCAGTGGGAGGCGTGAGTCTGGGGCTCAGGGCAAGCTCAGGCTGAGGAGCCTCTGCAGAGGATGAGGCTTCTCCACGTGGACTTAATGACACTAAGAGAAAGAACGCAGATCAAGAGAAACAGTCCAATTGTCTGGGGACACTCCTCCATTTAAAACTTGAGAGAGCTGGAGTCAGAAAAGGAGCTCGAGAAGGAGGCCAAGGGGTAAGATAAAAATCCAGAGGCGCGATGTCGGCAGGGGAAGCCAAGAGGAGAAAGCATTTCAAGTAAAAGGGAGTAAACTGAGCTGCAGGCTGCTGAGACATCATAAAATATAAAGACAAAGAAGCCGCCAGGGACCTAGGGACAGGCTACGGGGCCTGGTGGTGGAGCCCGAGGACAGCGGCCCTGGCGGGTGGAGGGGCAGGGTCCAGGAGCAGGAAGAGAGGGTGGAAGTGACTCCCAGCAACCCGTCCACATTTCCTGTGCAAAGGAGCAGAAACAAGGAGCGGCAGCCAGGGGGGATGTGGGGTTAGATAGAAATGGGGTGAGCTGGTTGGCCTTAAGATGGGAAAATACTAGNTCCAGGAGCAGGAAGAGAGGGTGGAAGTGACTCCCAGCAACCCATCCACATTTCCTGTGCAAAGGAGCAGAAACAGGGAGCGGCAGCCAGGGGGGATGTGGGGTTAGATAGAAATGGGGTGAGCTGGTTGGCCTTAAGATGGGAAAGTACTAGAACAGAGAGTTAATGACTAATGAACATTGGGAGCCAGAGTCTGACTCCAAACAGAGTAAGTTGAGTTTTACCCCAAAGCTGTATTTCACCTTCATCAGCCACTAGCATCTCAGTAGCAGAACAATCACCTTCCCGCTGGTACAGAACTCCACAGTTTACACAGTGGGTGTCCCTTTGCTCCCCAGGGCTCCCTAATCTCTGACTGCGGTGGGTCGCTGCCTCCCTCAGTTCACAGGGCATCAGCCAAGACGGCTTCCCCCGGGCACTTCAGATCCACCAGCTGCCCTCGGGGGCTTCCAGGCAGGTGCGGGTTTCAGGGAAAGCGCAGACTGTCACAGGGAACTGTCAGAGCCAGACGCGCTTCGAGGTCCTGGTCGCACCCCCCTGTACGGATAAGGCATATGCGGACAAAGTGCCAAAACAAAGTGCCATAGACGGGGGCTTAAACAACGGGCATCCCCAGGCCCGGAAGACAGAAGTCCCGCATCAAGGTGTCCACAGCACAGCTTCAGTCGAGGCCTCTCTCCTTGGCCTGTTTCCGCGCATGGTCTCTCCTCTGCGTTCACACGTCTGTATCCAAATTTCCTCTTCTTATGAGGACACCGGGGATCATGAACTAGGGTCCACGCTAAAGACTTCCCTTCATTACCTATCTTTAAAGACCTTATCTTCAATATGCTTACACTCTGAGATCCTGGGAGTGAGGACTTCCATGTATGTAGTTAGGGGCACACAATTCCTCCCATACAAGGAGACCACACCCCAGGGAAGGGTCATGACTGACACATAGTGGGTGAGTGGCATTTGACCACTCACCTCAAATTGCAACGCAGCGTTCCTATCCCAACCAACCGACGCGAACGTAAAGCAGCTAATTAAAGGG